ATACTCCAGAAATTTAACTTGAATAAGACTTTCAACACATATTCGATACTAGACTTGACGTTTGAACCTAATCATCGATCAATTACTTGTTGAATAATGAAAAAGCGTATTTTCTTGAACGTAAATTATGTAAACATCTCGACCGAGAACGAGCTGCGAACCAGTGCTGTGACCAAGGTAGCTCAAGCGTATCGTGCATGCGCAATGAAATGGCCCCTTGTTGCATGTACGGAAGGACTTGCCGAGATTTCCTTGCCTTGCAATAATGGCAAATGTAAAATGTAACACTGAAATTAAAGAGGTGATATAAATGTATTATATTACTATAAAAAGGTTTTTGTTTGTTTTTGTTGTAAGGCATAGACCTTTTTGGACTATTTGTTTGAATTCGTGCATTTTAAACAATAGGTTGAATAGGTGAAACCGTCTTTTATAATTTGTAGGCTAAGGGCTGACATTTGTAAATTTAGAATGATATATTTTATATTTATTTGATAAAATTATCTTTTGTAAAAGTGGAGTGATTTTCCTTCGTTTGATTGAAAAATAAAAGCCGTAAAAACAATTAGCTCTTTTATTGATTTTGATTTAAAAGCGCGTAACTCGAAGACACTAAGTTATTTTAGTTGCATCGAGTTACACGCTAGACGCGTAAATCGAAGACACTAATGTATGTTAGTTGTATCGAGTTATGCTCTGGGGGTGACCGAGGCAAATTTGGGCTTGGTCGAGCGCGTAACTCGAAAAGCGCGTAACTCGAAGCGCGTAACTCGAAGATTACCCGCCCTAAATTATTTCAATGGCAAGAAGATAAAATCACAGAACGAAAAGGTCAAGTGAAGTGAGAAACGCGTCAAACCAATCACATTGTTTTGACAGCTGAGAAGGCCCTGGGACGATGTGTAAATCCAATCAAAATACATGTAAGAATGAACCAATAAGAGCATGTACTCAAATCCAGGTATACAGAGAACACGATATCATGCACTGTTTCTCAGACCGTGTTTACGAACTCAGACTAGCACAACTTCGATGTTTGAAAGTGAAACCCCGCGCTTGTCAAATAAACCACCGTCGCCAGCAGCAACTGTTCAAAGAAGCTGTATTTTATGTGGGAAATTTCTCAATATTAGATATAAGTCCTATAGATGTACTCCATCTTCAACAGAAGTATAGAAAACAGAACACTATTATATGAATAAAATGCGTATAAAAGTTGATTCGCGACGACGGCGATAGGAAGTATACAGTTTCATTGATTAAGGTTTGTAGGCTTGTTGCACTTTTAGTCTAATGTACCGTTTCGTTATTTTTATCATATTCAGTGAATGACAACAATTGACTATAAACAATTGACTAAAAGTTATTGATGTGATTTATTTAACAAATAAATAAGGCTCAGCCGTGGTTTATACTCTGATAAACGCACGCTGGCATTTGAAACACACGAGAAAATGTCCAAAAGCACTCAAACAGACACTAATCTAGTGATTTTAGATAGAGTAGTTTTCCATTGTTGATGAAAACAATGAGTTTAGAGTCTACCACTGACTGTTATTTTGCCTATTTTCACAGATGATGGGAAATCAGTCTAGCACAAGGCCTTGTATCACTAAAATTAACTTTTGAATGTTCATACAAAAACCTTTTTACCTATACATTTTTCTTTTGTAACTCATGTGTATCCATATCGTCAAATTGCCTTGCCTTTTTAGCCCCCTGTGTTTGATCTTCATCTTCATGATCTTCACCTTCATGGTCATTTTTGTTAACAACAACATGTTCCACAATTCTGCGTTGAGTATCTTTAGACTAGGCTAGTCTCATGGTGTAGTTGTTGCGGAGGAGTTGGAGCTTTTCACTTTTTGTAGGTGATAGTTWGGCTTMAGACCATTCAAATAAATGTTGGATTACCTGTAATCAAATTGATGTAGGATGTAAACAGAATAGCATTAGCATGAAAATTTAAAATATTGACTCCCGCACTAAAGTCCGATGCTCTTCCTACTGAGCTAAACGGTCGGCGGAAAGGAAATGGAATCGAGTAAAAACAAACAAGGTGGTTCGATCGAATCAAAAAAGAATATTCTGATCTTTTTCTGTTGAATTATTGCCCCAGCTGTACTCTGCTTCATTGATATTCAATTCAAACGAAAAACAAAGACTTTACTTACATTTACAACTCCATTGAAATGTTTTTCTTATGTTTGTCCAACCAAGAGAGGAGGTTCTGCTTGTCAAGACCGCTGGAAGGACTGAAATTCCAATCCTGGAAACTTTTGTTGCTTCTTTTTGCGTTTTCTATGAATGGTTTTAATGTCTTAACCTCCCCAGGTCTTGAATGGCCAGAAGTCCGTCATCCTAGGAATTTGTAGAAAATCCCAGCGGCCTGTATAGTCCATAGTGAGTTCTACGTGTACGGTGTCCCCTTCCTCCAAAGGGATAAATTGGCCCTGAAGTTAGAGAGTCCTTCAGAAAATGGGTCCACTAATAAAAAGATAGCTATTGTTGTCTGCCTACATCCATGTTTTTTACATGTAAAAGACATATTTGTTTCAGGTGACTTCAAGTTGATATATTAATTTTATAAAACATCAGCAAGTTTCCCTGAGAAAGTTTTTTTTTAATTGAAGAGGTAGGATTTTTCTTGTGTTATGCTAGAAAGAATTAAACCAATCATTTATCAACAAAAGGCAACATCAAGTCAAGAAAAAATGATTCTAGGACAGATAAAATATAGATGTTTTTTTAACAAGTAAACTTTTGATAAAAGGTTGGCATCAAATTTGAGTACAGACAATAAACCCATGAAACATTAGTTATATTAAATTTTAATATTTTATGCTAATTCCATTCCATTCATATTTCCATTCGTATTTTTTTCCGAATTAGTTTTGCCAATACCAACATGTACTATGGTCAATTTAACTCCAATAAATCTGTTTGAGAGATCTATCAGTTGGTTTAATATTACGAACAATAAAGAGTAAAATTCAGACATTTGTTTATTTATTTTTAATAAAAAAAAGTCATTTTATCATTTTCAACTAATCTTAGGGGCTGTTTACATGAGGTAGGGTGCCCTTTGGTGGAAGGGCTAACATTCTTTGTTTTCTTTTCCCTGGGGGTTTTCAAACAAAGAGAGTTAGCCCTACCACCTGGGGGCACCCTACCTCGTGTAAACAGCCCCTTAAACTTTGCATATCAATAATAACTTTATTTAGCAATTTTTGTTTTCCAAAAGAAATCAAATCTATGAATCTGATACACTTTGCTGGACTAAAGACACCCTGCTAAAAAGTCACTCGTATCTATAAAGCATATTATATGATCCCAATAGGACTGATAAATCTACGAAATTGGACCCTATATTACTAAGTCAGCCATAAGCTGACTACGGTACAGACTAAAAAAATATTTAAAATTGATGCCGCGCAACAGAGAAGATAATCATCGTATCTAATTTTTAAAAGTCATACTCAATCTGACTCACACCACCACCGCCAGTCTAAGAAAGACGAGCTTCTGGCCATTCAAGACCTGAGGAGGTTAAAACCATTCAAAGAAGTCGCAAAAAGAAGCCACAAAAGTTTCCAGGATTGGAATTTCAGTCCTTCCAGCGGTCTTGACAAGGAGAACCTCCTCTCTTGGTTGGACATAAACATAAGAAAAACATTTCAATGGAGTTATAAATGTAAGTAAAGTCTTTTTTTTTTCGTTTGAATTGAACATCAATGAAGCAGAGTACAGCTGGGGCAATAATTCAACAGAAAAAGATCAGAATATTCTTTTTTGGTTCGATCGACCGCCATGTTTGTTTTTACTCGATTCCATTTTCTTTTCGGTTGTTTGGCCATTTCAAGGCGCAAACGAGCAGCCTGGGGCCGATACCCACGATTCCTGGGTATCACGTGACCAGTCTCCGCCAGGGTCTCCCTCCCGAGCGTCCGCCATTTTGAAAATAGCGAGAAGGGAGACCCTGCGTACGAGGTTGAAGGGATGGCGGCCTGCTTGATTTGTGTATCTGTTGTTTGATCATGCTTATCCATTTGAAGCCAATTTAAAGCAAGGTAAAATCCCACCAAGGCTACGATCAGCGTTGAAAACTTCGTGGTTTTTCGGTGTGCACGATGGGTAGGGGAAGTTAACACAGGAATCCCGGCTTTGGTAAACATGTGAACGAACACTAACAAGTGTCTCGGAAATGATTTTTACTAACTTCTTTTTTATCTTACTCTAATTTTTAATGATCCGATTATTTTCTTTATTTTAAGCGTTTGCTTATTAGTGTCCTGTTAAATGGTAAACGAGTTCGAAGTCATATTACATAATCACCGTCTTTGTGCAACTGTCGGAAAATTGGCTTTAGTATTCTAACTCGAAGAATGAAGTGATCAAATGTTTACTTTGTGTAGCGGCTATCTTGGGAGCCCTATGGACGGAATCTGACCGTGAGCGGCTTGGCTCAGGTGCGACACGGAAAAAAAACACAGCAACTGCATTTTATGACCGTGACGCAGGCCTTCAGCCTGGTCACGGTAAAAAGTCCATCTGTCTTAAACAGTCACCTCGTGAATGAATGGAGATGGGTTCACTGTGATAATGTGTTATCGCTCGTATTTCGGTGAATTTGCTAATGAGAATGAAGGCACTTAGAAATATTTCGACATCTTCTGTAAGGGAGCCTTAGATATGTTGACCATTGGTCTCGTTTCGTGTCATTTGGTGACGGATCGTCACGAAACGATATTCATTTTGACGGACCGTCTTACCGGAAGTCACTTGGTGAATATGCTAATAAGAATATGGGCACTTCATAAACGTGGTAAATTTACCCTTCACATCCAAGACTTTCAAAGTTTAGTTGTATTTGGTTTAAATATTATCGAATTTCCTAGCAAAAAATACCTTTGTTGAATTAAAGTCAAAATCCAAGTTTGTTTGTTGTTTTTTTACCCAAGAAGCTACGACTGACCATAAAATTTATATTTTACACTCAGGTTGTTGCCTCTCATCAAAATGGACTTTTAAAGGAATGTAATAAAGATACACGAATCACAGTCACCTTCACACCAACTGTACCTATTGTGGATGATGCAAATCAAAAGCACTTGTCTATCAAAATCCTTGTGCCGGATCGCGATGAATTACAAACTAAAAGTGCTATTGATACATGTGACTTAAAACTTCGTCATGGAATGCCTCCTAACGAATCACGTATCATCACCATCACCCCAGTTTGCGATAACATTGATCAAACCAACGTAGGTTCGATGGAGTACCGTTTTGTCATTGCCGACTTTGGACAAAGATTTTGGTTTTTGTATAAGCTACCATCCGTTAGGGTAAGAGATAATGCCTTACATTTTAGCTTCCACCCAATCATTAATTTATCCATTTTCATCCAATTTCTCTTAGTCAAATGTGTCTAATCTCTTATATTGCTGCCTGATCTGTTTTCAATGCACGCCTTTCCACCATCATAACGTCATGTGATGAGATCTAAGCAAAGCGATGCATGAATGTAAATATGAGGGATGTCCAATGCTCAGACAAATTTATGCATAGTATGATATTGCATTATGTCCACATAACAATAGACAATACAAGACTTTCAAGAACGACGCAATACAAAAGAATGCAATACAATGCCATCCATAAATTTGTCAGAGTATTGGACAAGTCGGGAGGTAAAATATGGTCATTCTATTGTCTTTTTAAGGTTTCCATTTCAAATACGCCACAAAAGCAGTGTTCATCAGTAACAGACCCTCATTATACAACATTTGATGGAAGGTTCGTTTAACTAAAGCACTCAATTTTTTGTAATCTCTCGTAATGTTCTGTCATAAGTATTGTTGCTTACACCTGTCATGCCTTCTGGTGTTCATTTTTCAAATGTGCTATTATACACCTATTTCAAAAAACGTTGTCGTGGAGAAACAGCGATTGTGGAAAGTAGATTGTATGAACGAAAGGGACTATGATAGTGCTGTTTGTTATGCAAAATTCCACTCACTGGGCTCATTGAGTGAAGACAAAATGCAGTAACTGTTTACCAAAGACTAAAAGGATCTTTAATTTCTACCAATTAGCAAAACTCATGGCTTCTTTCGGTCGTGCAATCTCGGTCCGACAATTGACATTCGCCACTTTAACCTTTTTTGAAATAGGTCAGTAGTTTTTCAGTATCTTTTACAGCCTGTTTTTAAGGTCCGGTGTTTCTCTTTTTTTATTGTTCAATTTTAAAATTCTTTTGTTATGAGCTGATTTTGAGGTTATTTTGATATGAGCTGCTCATTCTAGCAGCCAGTTCTTACACACCATACCTGTGCATTGAACTAATTTAGTTTTAATTCCCCCCTTCATTTCTAAGGCAGCCTACGGGCCTGCTTGTACAAATAATCCAACACTAAAACAGCCTGCGAACAATATTGCGAGCCACGTCTGTGATCAATATTGTATTTCATTAAAACTCTAGATATTACAACTTTATGCCTATTGGAGACTACGTTCTTTACAAAAACACATTTACGGACACGGAGGTAAGCTTACATATATATATATACCTAATTCAAAACGTCAGAGCCAGAGAGAATGAGCCAAGAGAAGTTATACCCGAATAAAGACTTTAGAAACTTGGTTTTGTGGTTTAGGTTATACTTAACGTGAGTAAGCAATAGATACTAGTTCTCAGGCAAGGTACAACTATTACAATTTTACTCAAATTTTGCTCATTTTAATAATATCATTGTCATCTAGGTACATGCTCGTTCATGGGTTTGTGTGCATTGGTCTTCTGATGTTACGTGCAATTGTGGAGCTGCAATTCGTGAGGGAGCTGATATTATCATTTTCAGCGTATGCAATGCAAATCTTGTTCAAACGCCTAGACTTTTGAAAACTGAAATACGAAGTGAAGGTGGTCTGGCACCAGGGACCCATATTATTAGAACTGTTCAAGGCAGTAAAGTGACGCATGATGTAAGTGTGTAGATAAAAGTGCAAATTAGCTCTATTTTTTTCAAATTCTAGGATAATCGTTCTTTTTAAAATATTGTCTTGACGCAAACACTTTTTTGTCCGAGAAGTACAATATCAACTTTAAAAAATCAATCTGAACTCATATTATTCAAGATTATAATACTCTCAACAAAACGTGAAAGTTTTAAGAAAACGATTTTTTGAGATATTTTGATATCTTATTATCTTGCAAATCCGACGCTTGATATATCTTAAAATATTTAACCAACTGCCTTCAAATTTTCATTTATGTACTCGATTTTCTTGTGGCTTGGATTTCGATTTCTGACTTTTATGCAAATTAGTTTAAACGTATAAGTTGGCGCCCACCTATAGTCTATATCATTCAACGACGTGGGAACTTGGTATACGTTCTCGTCCATTTCGGATTTATTGAAAATTTCATTCAAATTTCATTCATCACTTCGTCATTTCATAATATGCTGGACTCTTGTGATGTTCAGAGCTCTGTTTATATTAATAGCAATTGTGCAATTCAAAACCCATAGGTTCTTCTTCCGTCTGGCAACCGTGTTAAAGTCGAACGTTATAGATGGGGCCTTAACATATTTGTCAAAGCATTCGCACCTAAACCAAACACCATATTTGGATTGTGTGGCAATTTGAATGGAAGGCAAGACGATGAGTTTCATCAAGGAGGTGACAATCAAAACTATGGTCAGGATGCAGTTTCTTTCGGAGAGAGCTGGAGGTAAATTGATTTCTAAGGTTATTTTTTTGTGAAATGGAGAAAAAAATCTATGACAACAGTACATATTTAATTAGCATATAAATCTAGAACTTATTGCTTGAAAGAAACCGCCGAAGTTACATTAATAAACAAACGGATTTAACATTTTGCAAATGATAATCCACCTTGAGAATTAAAAATTGCGATCAATACATCTTTTAAGTACTAGATCTGTTAAGCCTATGGTAACGATAGGGAGAAGTTTAATAGAATTTTTTCTAGGCTTTCTTGACCTGAATCCATGCTTTATATATGAGTTATCAGTAACATTTGCAAATTAATAACAACAATAACAAAACGAATAGACTCTTCTCCAAAATGGTCGCCATAAACACCCTAAACATACACTTGTTGTTTAACGATAACTCTTTATATCTTTATTGCCGTTTACATCAAAGAATCCTGGTAGATGTAATTAAAAATCTAGCATGCCGGAAAGCAATAAGAGTGCTCGAATGACTCCTGTTGGGGGTTTATTTCTGTGTTTCTGGGTGTTACAACACTTAGAAAAGAGATGCAGGAAGACTGTCATTTCACGTTAATGCCTAAAGATGGGAATATCCAAAAGTATAGCTTAATTCCAAAAATGAGGGTCGCGTGACCAGTATTTTTTCGCACTATTTCTCAAAATTGCGGTTAGGGCTTACACCTGATCAGGGTTAGGATTGTTGTCTTAGGCTTAGGTTTGAGATTTGGATAAGAGTTAGACACTTGCTAGGGCTACATCGGGGCTTGGGGCTAGGGTTTTGACCTAGGGCTAGTCACGTGACCAGCTTTCGCCAGAACATATGGAACTTATTGCCATACATCGGGTGACATTTGCTTGGATTATTGTCCAGGCTCACTCATGCATCCATGCATGCATGTATATATGCATGTAATTTATTTATTTACTTCATGAAATATAATACAATGGAGTTAATTAATATTTTGTCATCGATCGACCTCATTAACATCATCATCTGACCATTAAATACTATTAATAGCAAAGTCACCTCTAGAAAGGAAAGTACATGTACCATAGGCCGCCCAACTAATGCATTGGAGACAGAAAAGAACGAATGCGTACGCTTTTATTATGTATATGTATCGGCGCGCACTCTTAGCAAAAATGCGGATTACCTGTGGTGCTACGTCACGATCGCGCGCCTCGCGGGTATACTATAATTTGCGAGGCGCGAGATAGTGACGTAACACCACAGGTAACCCGCATTTTTGCTAAGAGCGCGCGCCGATACATATACATAATAAAAGCGTACGCATTCGTTCTTTTCTGTCTCCAATGCATTAGTTGGGCGGCCTATGCATGTACACATAATATCACAGTTACGTTCACTGACTGATATAAATTTTTCAAATATTGAATTAACACAAAACTGCATAGTTTTGAGTACATTTTCAACATATAATAAGAAAAAAATAATTTGAAAAATTCAAGTTTGATTTTTGTTGCTTGTGCCTACAGAAGTAGTCTCCTTTGCATCCGTTCATCGTCGGGACAGGAATCCCGAAACGCAAACGGATGCGAAGCAACGCCAACTCTTCAAAGGCGAAAATACGTGATTTGATTTTTAAATTTTCTCACGAAAAATACACAGCAATGCCACACATACACTTTATTTCTTAAATCCGGTGCTAGGTTTTTTATTAACAAAATAAGTTATACGCGAGGCCCAGTTTTTTGGAGCGAACTGTGGTGAAAACATGGATCGCCATACTATTTTAATGCTCAACTTCAACTCTTCAAGGGCAAAAATACGTGATTGGATTTTCGAATTTTCTCATGAAAAATACCCAGAAAGGTCGCATATAGATTTTATTTCTTAAATCCGGTGCTAGGTTTTTACGATTGTTTTTAATGTCGCCGCATTTCTTCAAAAAGCCTTGAAATCTGGCCTTTTTTCGTCAAATTTGGCACTTCATACGGACTGTCAGGTCAAGCTTGAGTGATCACGGACYATTTGTCCCCCATAAGTTCCATATGGTCAAACTCTATAGGTGGGATCTGTACACAACATTGGCCATGCTCAACTACCTAAAGTCCTATGTTAAAAATGAAGACGACCACACCCTCCCCCTTTTACAACCATTCTTAGTTTGGGGTCACTGTCTCATCTCCGGCGGGATAATTACAAAAATATGCTTATGTACCGAAGCCGTTTTGAAGAGGGATATATTGGACGTACAACGCAAAATTTATTTTTTCTTCACAAAGGGTAGATCCAAGAAAAAGCAATTTTAATTTACGTCTTCCGGCACCAACCACTCCACCTACAGCGAAACAACCCAAGTATTGTGAGTGCCCCGAAACTGAACAGCAGTCTCCGAATTGTGATTGGAACGCAAACAGATTCAAAGACTTCAAAAAAATCCCAGGACAAGATATTGCCGACCAGTTTCGAAATAATCGTCGACGACGGTCAATCACTGGAAATTTTTACAGTGATGACATAATGGATTACGAGGAGAGAAGCTTTTTTGTTGACGAAAAAGAGGTACAATTTGCGCTTCGACGTATTCGATCAAGACGATCAGTAAGCAAAGAAGTCATGTCCAATGAAAATGCTACGAAACACTGTAGAGCTGTCATAGAAGATTCAACGGCTGGAAAGACATGCAGTGATGTTCCTGGGTTTAACCTGACATCAGCCATGGTAGAATGTATCACTGATTTAAAGGTACAAAATTAATTTAATCAGTTAGGAAAAGTATTAAAGGTAAAATATTTAAATTGCTGGGGTATTTATGATAAGCATCCCTAATTCCTTAATTGTAAAATACCACAATTTGGTATCAGTTAAAAATTGAACTAGTTACAGCTTTTTCAAAATCTAACGAAATGTATGTGATCTAGTAAATTTGTCCGGCTGGGCAAAATGGTCAAAATGCGGACACAAACTCGGCTTCCTAAATATTTCTTTGGAAAAATTTTACAATATTTGAAAGGCTGTAACTCGTTCACTATTGAACTGATTTATACCAATTGAAAGTTTCATTGCCTGGGTCTGACCAGCCGTTTTCGTGGGCTCAAGTATTAACGAATTTATACGTAAAATACAAAAGATTTGCCGGAACAAAACATTTCATTTTCATTGTAGAATTGACTTATTGTCGTGATATCTATTTCAGAACAGCAGAATTAGAAAGTTCGTTCCTATAAAGAGACCCGTCATGTCCAAAAACACTGAATTCACCTATAATTTTTAGAATTTTGTACGGTAAAAACATACATTTGAAATTTGATTGGAAGCACTTTGTGCAATCCCAGAAGGCACTGAGTTGATATTCAGTAAAAGGGCGGTTCAAGAGGGCTTTCGTGAAGGCTTTCATTCAATTATTTCCGACTCAAAGCTGGAAAACAAAATTGCGATTTATGCACGAGCCAATTATGTGCAAACCGACTGATATGTACATGAAAATTGGACGATTTTATAGAAAATGAAGGAGAGACCTAAAAATAAAACAAACTTTTTAGAAAAAAAAATTGTTGTTTACCATTGTTAACCATTATTGCCGCGAGTACAACGATTGAACTATACTTTGATCATTGTAAGTCGCGCACCGAGAACACAATGCTTTGCTTTGTACACAAATACTGATAAATATTCTTGACCATACATTTTCTTATGCAAAATGGATGCGATTTTTCCCACTCGTCTTATTCGCAAAATGAGTACAAACAAACACAAAAATCGCATTTTTTGTATAAAAAATGATTACATTTTTTCGCGATCCTTTTGTCTGCATCCTACTTCATCTTTTTCTGAACTTTCCCCTGTTTTAGCAGACCATATTGCTCTTGAATTATTTTCGCTACATTGGTCATATAGTAAAGTATGTTTTCGATCAAATTCAGAAATGGTTGTACCGCAAAAGGTGTAAACTTTTACCTCCATCGACTAAATTTTCTTTATATGTCAATCAGGTGCCGTGTTATATGTGTGCGCGTTGTGATTGGTTGTCTAAAACTTGATTATCGGAACATCTGATGATGAATAGATTACTAGCGAGATGAACACCCCTTCTGGTAATCTCGATAAAATGGGAATTAAAAGCCATGTCTATAATTATACAACGAATTCAGCCTTTTCCTAATTCTAGCTGCTAATTGAAGTTTTCTGTTTTATGACTGTTCTAGTTAACTGGTGAAATCAAGTTTGCGGGTGCCGCATTTGACTCGATGAAAGAGGCTTGCGAAGAAGTTGCTTTAAAAAACGTTTCTTTGTATAAATCGGACGCTAGTGGAAAATTCAAACCTCCGGCAGACATAGGC